AGCCAGGGACCCGCTCCCAAGGGTGTTGCCATGGCAACCAGGGCTGGGACCAGCTGGGATGCTCGGTTTCCAKGGGCTGGGGTTTAGGAATGGTTTCCCCCAATTTTGTGCTCTCGCTAGAACAGCGCTGCCACTCACTCCACTCCCCCTCTGATGGAAAGCACAGAAGGCAAAGATCCTGAGCTGGGATAAGAAGAATTCACTGGGAACAGCAACGAGATAAGGAACCAACAGGAACAGCAACAATATTGATAACAGAATGGATAACAACAAACAATTTACAGGGAAAACTGCAACAGCACCAATGGGCTCCTCTGTTTTCTCCTGCCCTGAAAGAACACCCTTCTTCCCTCAGGAGAGAGAGGGACTCCCCTTCTCTGTCCCTGGCAATGACCTGAGGTAGGATCAGATATAATGACAGGAGCATGGCCAGACCCTCATGCTCTTCCATCCCACCTCACATCAGTCCCAGGGGCAGCGAAAGGGTCCAGTGTCTTCCTAATGTGGATCATTGGGAATGTGGGTCACCAGGGCTCTTCCCAAACTGGGTCCTGTAATGGAGGATGAAGCTGGAGCAGCAGATGAGAACCATTTCCTGCACTCAGGGCACTCACAGGGCTTCCCTTACCGGTGCCTCCGTCGGTGTCGGGTCAAGTGAGAGCTCCTGGAGAAGCTTTTCCCACACTGGGGACACTCGTAGGGCCTCTCCCCAGTGTGGATGCGCTGGTGGGTGACGAGGTTGGAGTTTCGCTTGAAGCCCTTCCCACAGTCAGGGCAGCGGAAGGGCCTCTCATCTGTGTGAATCGGCTGGTGCAGGAGGAGATTGGAGCTGCTCTTAAACCACTTCCCACACTCAGGACACTCATAGGGCCTCTCCCCATTGTGGATCCGCTGGTGGGAAACGAGGTTGGAGCTCTGACTGAAGGTCTTCCCACATTCCCCACACTCGTAGGGCCTCTCCCCAGTGTGGATGCGCTGGTGGCGGATCAGTTGAGAGCTGCAGCTGAAGCCCTTCCCACATTCCCCACACTCGTAGGGCCTCTCCCCAGTGTGGATCTGCTGGTGGGA